TCCGTAATGGCCCGAGGCTTAAAAAGCCCAAATCCTCTCTAGTAAGTACGTTTAACATACCACCAGTACGCCCAGCGTACTCACGACCATCGCATCATCTGGACTTCAAGAGCGTCTGCGCAGTATACGTCTAGGTACGTCCAACGTACGCTGAAGCTAGCCAAAATCCCCTTTCAAGGTCTTAATCAATTAAGACCAAATGTCCAATTTTAGATCTGAGCTAAGTAGAGCATATTAAGCCATAAAGTTGCAAACTTTATTCTTTTGCATGCCTTAAAAGAGGCAATCTTGGACTTTATTACACTAACTTCATGAAACCACCTTCAACCCTTGCATGGTTGAACTTAACTCATCAAGACTCCATTTTTATGCTCAAAGGACATCGGAGACACTAGGATCTAAATTACTTTCTTCTGGTGTAGCTTATACACTCAAGAACCACCTTAAGGACCATAATATGAAGAAACATAAGCCCTAAACTAAAACTAACACATGGAGTCATCAAGGTAGGAGCGTTTTACCTCCAATAAGCTAGAATTGGTGAGTAACCTCTCGATCTACACACTCTTTCTTGTCCAATGCTTCTCCATAAATCTTCTTCTTCTTCATTAAGCACCACACACACACAAACAAAACACACACACAAGCTCAATCTCTTTGAAAAGTGGATTAGGGTTTCTATATATGGCTCAAGAGGCAAAGGAGGCTGATAAGATGAAATAGGTGAAGGACTTAATGTGTTTAAATAGGGTGCAAACCCTAAAAATTAGGGTTTAACCCTGGCTCGCATATGCCGTGCGTACACATGGGTACGCCTAGAGTACATAGGGGACTCCGCGCCTCAAGCAGCCACTAGAGTACGCCCGACGTACCAATGTGTACGCCCAGCGTACTCGAGCCTAAGGGTCAAAAAATGCAGGAAAAAAATAGCTAAGGGCTTTACCTGACAAATCGGGTGTCACAAGTGAAATGTTGCTAGATGCTCACCACTCTTTATGTCAGTCTATGATGAGTCTTGTGTAAGTGAGAGATTGAAAGATCTTGTATTGCCCAAGAGTCATTATAGAATGATATTTCTAATGAAATATAATCATATAGGATTAAATATTATAGTAAGTTGCCACTAATTGAATATTTATGAGTATAATTGGATTATTAATAAATATATCAAAACTTGTATTTACATGTAAAAAATTATATTATGAAAATAATATTTACCAATATATTAGGTATTATTGTTTCTAGGAAATAATAATAATAGAGAAAAAAACTAGCTTAATATCATATTGTATGAATATTAAACTTGTATACCACATTTTGGACACTTTGAGTAACCAAATGGTTACACTCTAACTAGCTAGTTGTTGGTAAAGAAAATGACACTTCCTTTTTGTCCTCATTAACCTTATGGCCGAAAATCAGGAGAGATATGGTCTTGGATTACTTTTTCCATTGTCTAATCCTTAAACCATGCTTGTAATAAAGAGACTTTCACTTTTGCTTTATGGTATCTTCTTACTTGTTAGTCCAAGGACATAAGTTAAAGTATGGAGTGTTGGAAGGGAGTTCTTGCACTTCATTCCTTCTCCTTTTGTGCTTCATAACTGAGAGAATAATGCTTTGTATGGGGCTGCCACATTTAAAGATGAAAAGCTATTTCTCCCTTCTTCCTTTCGTGTAAGTGGTGCTAAAGTCGAATACAAATAAGTTGATTTCTATTTAGACTTGTTTGGGTACATCTTAATAGCTTAAAATTAACTTATTAACAAGTGTATACAAGCACATTTTGGTGGTGCAACTTTTCTTGATGGATACATTGTAGAGAGCTTATTTTTTAGAGCTTAATGGAACACTTAATCAACTGCCAATCTCACATGAGAATCAAAGTCTTCAAAGGTTGTAACACTTAACTTTCTATGGTTGTTTTAATCTTTCTAAGTCATGAAAAATGATCATTCGTAGGATAAAATGGTTTTAATTTATTCAAACAAAATGCTTCCATTGCTAATTACGTCAAATTTTAGACTATAATTGGATAATTTTTTTACTAAAATCCCAACACCGAGATTATAGGATAGTTTCTTGAACGATGCTTGTATTAAAAGACTAGCTGATGATCATATACACATGTTCACTCACTCACTCTGACCTACTCTCGAGACACTCTTGAGCACAAAAACACTACACATTTGATCATAAAAGATTAAAGGCTTTCCTCGTACATCATTATGTTCTTGCACTTTCTTTTATTTATTATTTATGATTCAAATGATATATGTTTATACTTATAGACCTTTTTCTAAATCTTTACACTTTGATACTACATTTGTCATATTTTTCAAGTACACACATACTTACCTTTTGGAGTAAATCAACGTTTTTAGTATTCCTTATCACATAACGAATCTTAACGTTTCTGTCTTATACTCAAGATCTTGGGCACGTCCAAGATCTTAAATATATTTCAAGATTTTCTGCAATTTATAATTAACTATTTAACTACAACATCATACGAAACTTGCTAATTTTGTGCAAAGTTAGTTAAGTGATTTTTGACAAAAAAAAATATATTTAAAATTTTATTTGAGACTCATTTCTTGCCGCACATTTGTGGGAGTCAAAACATTTAAAAAATTTTATGATAAAAATTTAAAACTAAAAGAAACATATTTCTTTATTATTTTTGAATTTTGTATTCCCAATTTAGAAAAAACAAAAAAATCATCTTCAATGATGTTAGAATATATAAAATATGTAAAATATGTGTAAAATATTCTACAATATTTACAATGATTCTTTTTTTCATCGTAAACGATGAACATTTTTTAATTAATTTTTTGGTATTCTAAATGTGAGGCTAGAAAGTTTTTTTATCCTTTCCTAAAAATCTCATTTTCTAGTACAACATTTTTCTTTTATTACTGGCATCCCTTTCTCTTTTTTGTCCTAAGGTGTGGTCTAAATCTGAACCATTCATGTGTTTAGGTCCCTACTAAGAATAATTTGTAAACTGTGTAATGGATATTTATATAAAACTCGTATTCTACGACTGTAATGAATTCTAATCTGGTGAAAATCATTTATCCCACACCCGACGTCAACAAAAAGAGGCATGAGAACCAAAGGCAACGGCAAAGAGAACTGGGTCGGTTGCTAATTATTAATCGTCCTTTCATTTGAGACTTTCAAATGAATTGTTTGAGATTATGAATGGCTGCTTACAGAGAGACTATTTTCTTTTTGTAGGTGCAAGGATGAAATAAAAGGTGGATATGATTAAATGCTAAAATTTCTCTTTCCCCTACATTTGTTACTAAACTTCTTTTTTAGGAGTGTGAAAAAATTGGATCCTATTTGGAAAGAAGTGTGCATTCATGCTACTAAAGACCGTATCGAGGATTTAAAAAGGAAGTGACAAGCATTGTTGTTGGGACATCTAATAATTATTAACAGTACATTTTGTTGGGACTTTCAAATTATTTGTTTGATATTATGGATATTTGGTTGTAGACGGACTATTCGTTTTTGTATGCTTGAGAATGACACAAAAGGTGGATATGGTCGAATGGTAAAATTTGTCTTTGACCTTGGTAGATTGCTAAACCTATTTTTTTGGAGTGTGAGAACACCGGATCCCACCTGGAAAGAAGCGTACATTTGCGTTGCCAAGGAGCATATCAAGGATTTGGAGGGAGGTTGCAAGCGTTCCGGGCAGAGTAGTAAGTAGTCATCATGCAATTTGTCAACCATGGGCACCATGACAACTAGAAGAGTAAGAAAAGGAATCAGTTTTAATATTACAAAAAGTGCCCTCAAAGAATAGTAAGCCTAAGCATCAAATTTTATTACTAAGACCTCTTTTTCTAAATTACGCTCCATTTGCATCTCTAAATCACGAAAATTTAAATTAACTATAAATTCTTATTCCAACTATCTTATAGATTCCAGTCATAGATTCGTGGAATCAAAAATCCATTGTATTTTTATAGAATGTGACCGTGAAAATTGTTTTTTTGTTTATTTTTGGACTTTAGATTTTTCAATAATGTTAATAATAGATGATTATTCTTTAAGAATGTTGTTATTCTTCAACTAATTGTTTAAAAATTTGTTATTCTTCAAAATGTTTATTCACTTAGAATATGTATTCTGTTAGAATTTGTATTCAATCAAAATATGTATTCTATTAGAATATGTATTTTAAACTCTTGGTCCACATTCATTCCTACATCCACACAATACTTACCATCCACACTATATATATATTGATGTTCAATAAAAAACCATAATTAACCAAGGAACCAATCTATTTTTTCAACTGTTAGAACTTATTTTTTATTAAGAAAACTAAAAATACATAAATTCATAACTTTTTATCCTTTTTCCAATGATATCAAATTCGAAAAAAAAAAATTCGTCAAATTCACAATGTGAATTTTTGAAAATTCACAATGTGAATCTAAATTCATACGGTGAATTCGAAAAATATATTTAACATTCCCAATGTTATGTTATGAATTTAAATATTTTTAGTTCTTTTTTTCGATAAAGAATAAGTTTTAGGACTTGAAAAAAAAATTAGTTCGTTGAATAACCAATAATTATGGTTCTTTATTGAATTTTTTCAAAATATATATATATATATATATATATATATATATATATATATATATATATATATATATATATATATATTCGTCAGCTCAAATCTTTCTCTCTCTCAAAATGATTACATATTTACATCTATGATAAGAACAACTTTAAATGCGTAGGGTATAATTCATGGTAACATGAGTCAGGTGAAAAGCTTTACCTAAAATTATACTGTACTTTAATAGCTCAAATCATCTCTCTTTAGTCTTTATCTTCGGAAATCTTTTCACATAGTATTTTCCACTTAAAGCACAAAGCATTCACTTTCCATAAACAACCTCTTTTCCCCCTTTCAGTTCCCATACCCTTTCGAAGCAAGCAAGAGAAAGAGATAGAGAGAAAGAGAGATGGAGTTGTCATATGAAGAAGAATTAGTTTCTTCTTGTGATCCCGTATTTTCAGATGTTGAATTCAGAAAACCGAAAGAGATTATGCTAAAAGATGAAGGAGAAGATGAAGAAGAAAGAGATATTGGTCAAGAAGAAGAAGAAGAAGAAAGAAAGACAACAGCGTGTGATGGTGTTGACGAATCAAGATTGAATCAAGAACTCAATCTTTTAGACAGTTTAAACATGGGTAATTCATCAGAAAGTACAACCCCACAAGCATCAGATACAACTGAGCCTAGGGTTTTTTCCTGCAACTACTGCCAAAGAAAGTTCTACAGCTCACAAGCACTAGGGGGTCACCAAAATGCCCATAAAAGAGAGAGAAATCTTGCAAAAAGAGGCCAAAGAATGGGGTTCCTTTCAGGTCCCATGATTTCAGCAGCTGCAGCTTTTGGCCATACATATATGCACCAGCAGCAACACCAAGATCAAAACTACTGTTCTAGCCTTTCGTCGCTTCCTCTCCATGGATATAACAACAACAGATCACTTGGAATTCAGGTACACTCAATGATCCACAAGCCTTCTAATTCCATGTTTTCAAGTTCGGCTTCGGGGTTCAAGAGCTTTTATGGATCAAAAGGATGGCCATCTAGACCTCATGTTGATCAGCAACCAGCTATAGGGAAGCTTAGTTCAGCAAGCTACGCCTCAAGTTTAGCGGCAGCTCCATCATCCCATGTCGGTGTTGGGAGGTTTGAGGTAGTTAGGACAGGAATGAGTTCAACCGGTAAGGATGAGATTGGTGGTCTATGGTGGCCGGAGTTGAAGACTAATCAAGATGAGTCCCAAAAACTTGACTTGTCCCTCAAGCTCTAATCAGTTTCCCCCAATTCAATTACATATAATATTTTTTTTTCCTTTTTAATCCTTCTTGGTCAAGAATCATTTATACTTATGTTTTTTTGTTTAACTTTATTTTTTGAAAATTGAAAATAGTGTGTATATTTTAGATCTTGGAAAGATTGATTTCAGATATTGTTTATATATTTATTAATTTCGATCATTTCTAACCCACCCCACCAAAGAAAAGTGGAGATGGTACGAAAGAATAAGCATTGTCCAAAAAATCAACCATAACTATGTTTCATATATTATTCTAACATGTCCATCTTACCATCTAGTTAAAAAAAATTTGATTTGAAATTACATCAAGCTTTCTTTTTATAAATTCATAAAAATAACTTATCTTAGTTTATAAAATTACTTGGGGCGTGTTCGGCACAAAGCGTTTGGGAGCGTTTGAGAGTTTCTAGCGTTTGACAAAACGCTCCATTTTGAACAGAAAGCCTCGTTCGGCACTACAAGTTTCTAGCGTTTAGTTTAAACAAAACGCTCCAAATCCAAATGCTACTTCATGTAGCGTTTAACAAAACGCTACAAGCTACCCGCTACAAGCTATCCGCTACCAGCTAATTTTGCCGAACACGCCCTTGATCTAACTTACTGATAAACTAACTTTAGATATCTTATTGATAAACTGGTTTTTTAATTACTTTCTTAAAAAGTTAAATATTTTGGTGTTTTAGCAACAATCTTTAATAGTCTTGAAAAAAAAACATATAAACCCCATATGTGTTGTAACAACTATTATTATTATCTCATATGCTATTAGTTTTTGTAAATCTTTTATGGAATGATGATTTTTTTTTCAAAATAAGATACCTAGCAAGACACTAGACTAGACGAAAAGCCAAAAAGTCTACAAATAAGCCAAACATACAAAAACAAAGGATTAAAACAACAAAAAATCCAATTGAGACTATATATTTCAATCTCATCTTTCATCAAAGAAACATGTGTCTCTGGATGTCATTCGTAAGCTTAGCGGTTGGGGATCAAAACAATTCAAAAACATGTGCGCTTGGATGCCATTTGTTGATTTGTTGAGCCAAAATTATCTATTTGACTTCATATCCATTGGACAAACCAAGCATGAACTAATTCTCCATTTGACTTCATAGCCATCTATTGAGTTGTGGAGTTTAATTCTTGCATTGGTTGTGTCTCATGTTTCAAGATCATGGACTCAAAAGAGACAAGCTCAAGGCAAAGGCAAGGAAATAAACCTTCATATGCTACGGGTCAGATGACATAGGTTACCGCTTATGGGATAACCATAACAAAAGGTTATTAGATGTTGGGATGTACTATTCAACAAGTGCTTTACATAAGGATGAGATTGCAACCAACCACGATAGAGAAAAGCATTTAAAAAAAGAAAAGTCAATTCAAGTTCAGTGTAATCTCAAATGACGAGATTGTAAAACTAAGCAGTATTCTTGACAAATAGGAAGTTCAGAAGCAGTGGGAACTACGATGAACCTAGAGATAGTGGAGCCAAGTGGATGAAGTTACATATGAGGGAAAGACTGAATCTACTACTGTTTGGAGACCTACTTTCAACGAACCTCTATTTACTATAATGAGATATTCTCTCCATTTGTGAAGATAACTACTATCGGCTTCGTCTTGGGTAAAATGGATATATAAGATCTCCATTTAGAGTAGCTAGATGTCAAAATAGCTTTTCTACACGGTGACATGGAAGTAGACATCTATATAGCATAACCATATGGTTTTCTTACTTTGGGTAAGGAAAATATGGCGCCTAAATTGAAGAAAAGTTTGTATGGGTTGAAGAAAGAACGAAGTTAGTGGTGCTTAACATTTGATAGCTTCATGTAGAGGAGTGGGTACAAGAGATGTGAGGTGGCTCACTTTTGATACTTGAAGTATTTTGGCTACTAATGTATCATAGTATAATTATATGTTGACAACATGTTAATATGAATTAAACATATAAGAGATCAACAACCTAAAGAAGCCATCGTCTAGACAGTTCAAGATGAAGCAGCTAGTGGTTTATAAGCATATACTCAGCATAAGCATAGTCAGAGACAAAGTTACTAGTACTTTGAAACTTCCCCAAGAAAAAAAAAATATCAAGAAAGGTATAGAGAAATTCAACATAGTGTATGCTAAGGCCAAATTTTACATAGTTAGGAAGTCACTATAGAATCTTAAAAAAGCAATCCCCGAAGACAGAAGAAGACAAAGCAAAAATGTTTATTGTTTCCCACTCCTCGATAGTTGGTAGCTTGACATGCTCTGTGGTATGCACAAGGCACATGTAGTGGAAGTTGTGAGCAAGTTATGAGAAAGTTTATGTCTAATATGAAGACTTCAAATTTTCGAACATAATAAGCTAATTACGACCCACCAAATATCATCTAGCAAAGTTTGGAAAGAAAAACAAGCACCAAAAAAGAAGATGAAGAAATAACAACCTTTGTAGTTCTTTGGGTCCTCTTGATAGGCTTGGAAGTTGATGGAGAATTTGGAACTTTAGAGACAAAATCAACGACTAAACTTGATATAGAATGCTAGTTATTTGTATTAAACTCTTAAGCTTTGAACCAAACCCATGTATGGTTCAAAGAAAGCAAAATGCAAGGAACAATTGTTCTTGATTTAAAAGCAAAATAAGAGAGGGAGAGTATGAAGTAGCTCTCGGAAATTGGTGTAAAAAGGATGCACCAAATGAAAGCCTCATGTCTTGTTTAAAGTAAAATGAGTGACTAAGAGTCCTTAACGCCTTCATCACTTATGGCACCAGGCCAACATGTCTCCTATGCATGCACACCTTACTCATTACTTTTGATTAAACAATTTGCGAGTCCATACTCCTCTAACACTCTCTAATTTTGGATTTTGCAAGAGAAAACAAAGGCTATAGTTTTATATTTTATAACCCAATTTTATAAAATATAACTTTAACTTTTTGGTAAAAGACAAAAGGATTTATCTAGTCTAAAATGTTGTGCATGACATACTAATTCACACCATATGAATTTATGTAATGTTACTTGCTAATGAAAATTATTATTTCCTCAAAGTAAATAATTTCCAATTAATTAGAGGAGTTTGTTGAATATTTATTAAAATCAATCTATAATAAATAATCAATTGTATCAAGTTGTTGTTAGTGTGACTCATTAGTATCATATGTTAGTTAGCAATATCACTTTAATATGATTCTTTAGCATACTATATTTTTCAATCTCCCACTTGCGTAAGACTCATATTAGACTGATATAGACACCGGTGAACGTCTAGCAAAATTTCATTGCACCCATCAACATACGACTTTGTGCCATTCTATCAACGCCCAATTCCCAGAAGCTCAAAGCTACAATTGGTGTAAAAGGTAAGTTTATCAGTTATCCTACATACATCAAGTTAAACATTAGATACGGATCTTGATCAATCTCATTTGGTGCTCAACTTTTGGTAAGGCGCCTTATTGTTAATATATGCATAAAGATATAAAAGTTTTAACATTCATTTTTATCTATCTCTATACATTGTACATTCCAAGAATGTATATTGTCTTTCATAAGTCTTTCATCTTAGAAATGCATTCCGAGTCAAGGAGAAAAGTTCTGGCATGGTCAGAATGTAATTTCTTATGATTAAGTATGTCTCATTCATACATGATTAGAAATGTTACTATACTCCCACTAGTTCTTAGTAAATACACATGTTCTATTCATTTTGATATAAAAGCATACCTTGTGGCTTTATATTAAATGATGATTGCAAACTTGATATGTTTGCTTTATATCCATAAGTGGATCTCAAGTTTTACACATTTTACTAGGATAATCATGGATTAAGAAAACCTCCAGGCTACTCATAATAGATATCTTCTAGTAAATGTTTATTAAAAAAAACGATTTTTCTTGAAATCTATTTGTTATATCTCATATTAAGATGTTATATCTCATATTAAGAATATGATTTATAGTAAAGAATATTCTTGTTGATCGAAGCATAGCTGCTTGTGAAAAAGGTTTGATCATAATCAATGATATGAGTATGATGAGAACGATAGTTAATGACATGAGTACGAGAAAATCCTTTTATAACAAGTCTTGCTTTAAATGTGTATAGTTATCCATGTAATGTATTCTTTCTAGAAGAATAACTTACTCCTTCTAGTCTGGCTATGTGGAGGAAAGTCAGTCAAGACCATACTTAATTATTATATATGGATTACATCTCATCTTCATGACTCTAAGTCATTGATCAGATTCGAGATCTGACATAGCATCTTGGTATTTGATGGATTTGCCAAAAAACATCAAGAAAAGCTCATCAAAGAGAGATTCCACATTTCTCAAGTCATAGATGATTTCTACCACTAATGAAAACTATTTGTGTTTGTGAATAGCTATTATTCAAGTTTAATAATCCCTTGTTAAAACTAGTGCCAACTATTACTACATCAGGTGATGGTTCTTGAGCTCTTCAAGTTCCATGTACCTCCTACTTGTTTTGTCATTAAAAGCTTACTTTATGCTAACTCAACTATCAGGGGAATAAGATAAATTATTCTAGGTGGGTTTGCATATAATAATATAAGCCACATTTAGAGTATTATACAAATATATATCTAGTAGATTTTGGGTTTAGAAGATCTAGTAGATTTTAGATGGTCCTTAATAATCTATTTTTCTTTACTACTTAGTGAAAATATCATTAGGAATCTTTTATATATAAATAAGATTAACATATGTCAAATATATTACAGTAGTTGCCTTCAAAAATCCCTTTCTTGAAGTTAGAATATGTGAATTTCATTTAATAAAGGGAACAATGTCTTAGATAACTTTGATTCAAAACAAGTTTAATTCAAAAGTATTTTGCATATAGAACTTGTTATTTATTAAGCATTGATATTTACTTTATAATTATTGTTAAGAGATCTAGTCTTAGAAAATGAATTTTAATCATTTCCATATATGAAGGTGATC